GAGGTCTCGCCAAGTTGGCCAGGCGGGTCTTGAACCCACGGGCTCAGGCAGTCCACTCACCTCAGCCTTCCAAAGGTGTGGGATTACAGGCTGAGCCACCGAGCCCAGCTCATAGGAGGATATTAATATCTGTCTGGATATTAAGTCTTGGATAAGACTTCCAGGCTTAATACTGTCATACAGTCTTGCTAGTCCTTTATGATTCAAAGGTCAAATCTGCTTGCAACTTTGCAGTATTAGACTTCCCTAGTTGATTTTACCACTGAAGTGCTTACTTTAGATATGAGGGTTCACACCAAGTGCTATATACATTTTAATTGTTTACTGCTGGGCTACAAATCCTTATTTTACTTATGTTAGTTACAACGATGTATGTCCTCAACCTGGTTGATGTAAGATAAAACTTCCATATGAATTTTTTTCCTACCACCAAAGCATTGGGCGCCTTTATAGGGTTTGTGGGAGAAGGATCTATTTTCCATGGTCTCATATGCTATTTGCTATCTTCTAGGGGAACTTACTAGGGGATATTTTTCCAAACTAGATGAAAGAGCTATACAAAGATTTTATTTTAGCTGGGCGGCATGGTGGCTCATACCTGTAATCTTAGCACTTTGGGAGGCTGAGGTGGGAAGATTGCTTGAGACCAGGAGTTCAACAGAGGTTGACCTCATCTCTACCAAAAAAAAAAAAAAAAAAATTAGCCAGGCATGGTGGTGCACACCTATAATCCCAGCTCCTCAGGAGGCTGAGGCAGAAGGATCTCCTGAGCCCAGGAGGTCAAGGCTCTGGTGAGCCATGATTGTGCCACTACATTCCAGCCTGGGTGACAGAATGAGACCTCAACTCAAAAAAATAAAAATATACCAGGCTTAATGGCTCAGCCTATAATCCCAGCACTTTGGGAGGCTGCAGCAAGTGGATTGGCTGAGCCCATGAGCTCCAGAGCTGCCCGTGCAACTTGGTGAGACCTCGTTTCTACAATAAAAAAAAAAAAATTAGGCCGGGCTTGGTGGCTCAGCCTGTAATCCCAGCACTTTGGGAGGCCAAGGCGAGTGGATTGCCTGAACCCGCAGGTTCGAGACCCGCCTGGGCAACTTGTTGAGACCACGTCTCTACGATAAATAAAAAAACAACTAGCCGCGCATGGTAGCGCGCCCCTGTAGTTCCAGCTACTTGGAAGGCTGAGGCAGAAGGTTCACCAGAGCCCGGCAGGTCGAGGCTGCGGTGGCTGTGAGCGTGCCACTGCACTCCAGTCTGGGTGACAGAGTGAGACTCCAACTCAAAAAAAAAAAAAAAAAGCCGAATGTGGTAGCGCATGCCTATAATTCCAGCTACTTAGAAGGCTGAGGCGGAAGGATCGCTAGAGTCCAGGTGGTCGACACTGAGGTGGTTGTGAGTGTGTCATCACACTCCAGTGTGGGTGATAGAGTAAGACTCCAACGATAGATAGATAGATAGAATTATTCTGCTATTATTTTATTTTACAGTTTGCATTTTCTACTAATCACATCTGATCATTTCTTGCAGGGTTTGTACCAATTGTTGGAGCCCCGGATGATCGTTCGTTGCAGGAAACAAGATTTCCCTCTGGTAAAGGTAAAGAAGGAATCTTGTTTTTGTTTTGTTTTTAATCTAAATGCGAGGATGATATGCATGTTCTAATGGACAACAGCAATGGGAATTAAAGGAGTCTTAACACTGTGAAGGTATTAAGTTCAGTGTCCTTAAGCCTTTAATTTCTTTTTTTAAAAGAGTTCAAGTTACCATCGAAGCTAGTCCCCTACTTTCTTTCTAGGAGCTTGATAATACTGTAATCTTAAAATCAAATAATACAAGCAGCACCTCCTGGCCTGGAGCAGATATGCAGTGCCACCTTGAGGAGGCAGCCTGTTGCCCGACAGCAGGGCTGGGCTCACGCTTAGTCAGTGTGTTCCTAAACCCAGGTGAGTGGAGGCAGGGCTAGAGGAGGAACGTGGGCACCAGGGAGGCTAGGCAGCCTTGATTCTGTGCCCTCACGTTGCTCTTCAGAATAAAATTCCTCTTCTGGGTGGCTTGAGGGTGTGCGTGCTCAGTCAGTCCACTAGCAGTTGCATTCCTCACACATGGATACGTCTGTGGCATATTTGCATTTATTATAATTTGTCCACCGTAATTAACTTGTCCACTGGGTAAGAAAATGTGCCGGCCAGAGAACACAGATGCTCATCCTCTCAGTCACACATTCTCTGCTGAAGCGGCTTGTGATGCTCGTCTATTGAGCATCTCAGCTGAATCCATGTCTGTGCACCCAGCCTCATTTATGAATCTGTCCCACAGAGAGCTCACATTGTAAGGGAGAGTTTGCCACGGTGACATCTGTTAGCGGAGGGAGATCTCAGTTGCCAACTAGCCTTCCCTAGATGACATCATGGTATTTCTGGGGGCCAGGCAAGCTTTTTCTTGAAACATACAGCGTCAGCGTCCAGCATCAGTGATTAGCTCTCCGCAGTGGTGCTACATTACATTTGAGAAGCAAGGAACTGTTGAATATATGCATCAGTTTGTTCAACAGAATTGTCAGAGGAAAATATTAAAGTTCCTTCAACAAAGCATCATATACATGGCTGCTAGTGTGTGCATGATACTGTTCATGACAGGACTTACCACTAATTATGATTTGCCTCTAATTGCAGTATAGCAGTGAAAACCCACTTCTCTCCCCCCCCCCATTGAGCTAATTTCTTTTTTAAATCGTGGTAAAAATATACACAACATAAAATCTACCATTTTAACCATTTTAGGTGTACACTTTTAACGGCAGTAAGTACATGCACATCCTTGTGCAGCCGGCACCACCAGTCATCTCCAGGACCTTTTCATCTTCCCTATAGAAACTCTGCCCATTTAAATAATAGTTCCCTGTTCTTTCTCTTCTTTTCTGTGCATCATATAATTGGAATCATACAGTGTTTATTCTTTTGTGACTGTTTTAAATTCACTTAGCATTATGTCTTCAAGTTTCAGTCATGTGGTCGCATGTGTCAGAATTTCCCTCTGTTTAGGCCAAATAAATATTACTCCATTGCACATATATACCACATTCTGTTCTTCCATTCATACAGGTTGGGTTGCTTCTGCCTTTGTGAATAATCCTGTTATGAATATGAGTGTGCAAAAATCAAGTTTCTGCTTTCAGTTCTTTTGGGTAGAACTCCAGAAGTGGAATTACCACATCGTATGGGAATTGTGGGTTTAGTATTTTTGAGGAACTGCCATACTGTTTTCCACGGTGGCTGCACCATTTTCCGTTTTTTTAGGAAGCAGGATTCATTAAGAGGACAGAAAAGCTCCCACAGTGGGCGGGGACCTGAGGGGGTTGCCATTTTACATTCTTTTTTCTTTTTTTTTTTTTTGAGTTGGAGTCTCGCTCTGTCGCCCAACTGGAGTGCAGTGGCCGCTCCCAGCCACCGCAGCCTCGACCTGCTGGGCTCTGGCAATCCTTCTGCCTCAGCCTTCTGAGTCGCTGGAACTACAGGCGTACGCTACCATGCCTGGCTGATTTTTGATTTATTGTAGAGATGAGGTCTCGCCAAGTTGCCCAGGCGGGTCTCGAACCCGCGGGCTCAGGCAGTCCACTCACCTCAGCCTCCCAAGGCGCGGGATGACAGGCTGAGCCGCCGAGCCCGGCTGCCATTTTACATTCTTACCAGCGGGCACAGGGGTCCCAGTTTCTTCACATCCGCTCCATCACTTGTTTTCTCATCAGAGCCATCCCGCTGGGTGTGACTGTCACCCCCCGGCCGCCGTTTGAAGGCTCACCAGCAGCCAGGCTTCTCCCTCTGGGACCACGTTCCTTCTCCTGCTGGTCAAGGCTTGAAGCCTGACTCGGCCCCTGGCGTCTACTCAGCCGCCAGGCTGGTTGGTTCCTCGCTCGCACCCCTCCCCCACTCGCGCAGGCGCTCTGGAGTCTGACTTTTCCTCAGTGTCTGTGCTCTTTTGCCTTCCCATTCTTTTGCCTGGAAGAAAGGGGAATATGCTTGCTTGGATAATGTGTGGACTTTTTGGATGCCTACTCGAAGGTTCTGTTAATCGCTTTCATCGGTTTCTGTTTCTCCAGGCTGCGGTACAGAAGGCCATCCCCATGTACAAAATCGCCACCAAGAATGATATTGACGTCCAGATTGACCAGGAGTCCTACCTGCCCGAGGACATGTAAGGCGTGTTCCTGCTGCTGACTGCTAGCTTCTCTCCCTGGGAGAGTAGCCTTTGTGCTGGGCTTTTTTTTAAATTTTTTTTTGAGCTGGAGTCTCACTCTGTCGCCCAGACTGGAGTGCAGGGGCACACTCATGGCCACCACAGCCTCCACCTGCTGGACTCACGTGATCCTTCTACCTCAGCCTTCCAAATAACTGGAACTACAGGTGTGCCCCACCATGCCTGGCTATTTTTATTTATTTATTGTAGAGAGGATGTCTTGCCAAGTTTTCCAGGCTGGTCTTAAACTCCTGGGCTCAGGTAATCCTCTCACCTCCACCTCTCAAAGTTCTGGAATTATAGGTGTGAGCCACTGCACTTTTTTTTTTTTCTCTCCAAACAGAAACATGGACTAGCTCTGTTGCCTAGGCTAGAGTGTAGTAGCATGATCGTAGCTCACTGTAAACTGGAACTCCTGGGCTCGGGGATCCTCTGGAGTTGCTGGGACTACAGATGCGCGCCACCACGCCTGGCTAATTTTTGTATTGTTTGTAGAGGCAAGGTCTCATGCTGTGTTGTCTAGGCTGGTCTCAAACTCCTGGGCTCAAGCAGTCCTCCCACCTTGGCCTCTCAAAGTGCTGGGATTACAGGCATGAGACACTACGCCTGGCCTCAAGAAATTTTTGTAAAATAAAGTGATAATGTAGCAGATGAATTTTATTCCCTCAGATTGCCTGTGGTAGAATTTGACCTGTTGACTTTATGCTTCTAAGGGCTGAGAAACATTGAGGGAAGGATTGACAGCAGTGAGGTGTGGAGCTGGAGGCAGGCCTGGGGGAGTCCGGCAGAGGGAGCGGTCCTGAGCCTTGCCTCTCATTACCCAGTGGCAGCAGGACTGAGGCTTTAAGGAACATCAGATGCAGGCTCTTGTCTGCTGGTTTGTAAACTGAGATGAATCTGTTTTTCATTTTTGGGGGAGGGCTGGCTGTTAGAATTAAATTAGGTGGTGTAACGTAGTATCAAATTGATACATGGCAGTCACTTGGTAAATAGCAGTTACTATCGACATGAAAATAGTTGACCCTCTGTATCCTTGGGGCCATATCCATGGATTCAACCAGCTACCAGTTGGATTTAAAGAAAAGAAAAAGATGGGCTGGGCTCGGTGGCTCAGCCTATAACCCCAGCACTTTGGGAGGCCGAGGCAAGTGGATTGCCTGAACCCGTGGGTTCGAGACCCAACTGGGTAACTTGGCGAGACCTCGTCTCTACAATAAATCAAAAACTAGCCAGGCGTGGTAGTGCGTGCCTGTACTTCTGGCTACATGGAAGGCTGAGGCGGAAGGATTACCTAAGCCCAGCAGGTCGTGGCTACTGCGGTGGCCAGGAGTGTGCTACTGCACTCCAATCTGGGCAGCAGAGTGACTCCAACTCAAAAAAGAAAAAAAGATGGTTTCTTCTGTACTGAATGTGTATACAGACTTTTTTTTTTTTTTTTTGAGTTGGAATCTCACTCTGTGGCCCAGGGTGAATTTCAGTGGCACAATTACAGCTAACCATAGCCTCAACCTCTTGGGCTCAGGTGATCTCTTGCCTGAGCCTCTAGAGTAGCTGGGACTGTAGGTGCACACCACCATGCTCAGCTAACTTTAATTTTTTTGTAGAGATGAGGTCTTGCTATGTTGTTGATGCTGGTCTTTTTTTTTTTGAGTTGGAGTCTCACTCTGTCACCCAGACTGGAGTGCAGTGGCCGCTCCCGGCCACCGCATCCTCGACCTGCTGGGCTCTGGCGATCCTTCCGCCTCAGCCTTTCAAGTACAGCGCGCACTACCACGCCCAGCTAATTTTTTGATTTTTTGTAGAGATGAGGTCTCGCCAAGTTGCCTAGGCGGGTCTCGAACCCGCAGGCTCAGGCAATCCACTCACCTCAGCCTCCCAAGGCGCGGGATTACAGCCTGAGCCACCAAGCCCGGCTGCTGGTCTTAAACTCCTGGGCTTAATGGGGTTACAGGTGTGAGCCACCATTCCTAGCCCAGATTTTTTTTGTTTTATTCCCTAAACAGTACAACTATTTATATAACATTTCCATTGCATTAGGTATTATAAGTAATCTAGAGGTGATCTAAAGTATACAGAAGGATGTGTGTAGGTTCTATGCAGATACTATACCATTTTATGTAAGGAATTTGATCGTGGGTCTTCATGGAACCAGCTGTACCCTAAATCTTCAGAAGCCTTTTGAATTATTTTCTTTTTTTTTTTTTTTTGAGTCGGAGTCTAACTCTGTCGCCCAGACTGCAGTGCAGTGGCATGCTGCTCACAGCCAACGCAGCCTTGACCTGCTGGGCTTAGGTCAACCTTCCAAGCAGCTGGAACCACAGGCGTGCACGACACCTGGCTAATTTTTTGATTTATTGTAGAGATGAGGTCTTGCCAAGTTGTCCAGGCCAGTCTCAAACCCCTGGACTCAGGCAGCCCTCTTGCCTCAGCCTCCCAAAGTGCCGGGATTACAGGCTTGAGCCACTGCACCCAGCTTTTAAATGACTTTTAAGCTATCGTTTATGACACACACCCACCCACCCACACACCCCAAACAGCCTTACTTTCTGGGAATTAAGAGGTAAGTGTACCGTGTGTTTGTCTTTCTCACATCTGTAAATGTTGTTACTGCCTGTGTTTTTGTAGAGCTGGTGGAGTGGAGATCTATAACGGGGATCGTAAAATCAAGGTGTCCAACACCCTGGAAAGCCGCCTGGACCTCATAGCCCAGCAGGTGAGCACGGGAATGCTGCTTGGCTGGCTACTGTTATTGGAAGTGGTGCAGAGAACGCATGCCCGTTTGCTAGTGCTTGGGATTTGCTGCTCTTTTTCCCCATTTTTGGACTTTTTGTTGAAAAGAATGGGGTTGGTCATGTGGTAGAGGCGTTGGCTGAGGGGATGGCATTTACACGAGGAGGAGTTGGGGTCAGAACAGGGTTTTGTTATGAGGACTCGAATGTGTCCATTTTGCTGCATGTAGAGATGGTGATGGGCTTCTTCCTGCAGCAAGGATGATGGGAACTAAGGTAAAGATGCATTGAAGGAATTAAGAGGCTGCCGCTCTTCAGATGTTTCCAGATTTGCATAGATGAACTGTAGGAAGCAGACTGGGAAAGTCCACGTACACGAGAAGGCTGGTGTGGTGTAGCCCACCAGCGGCAGTCCCCCGCTACCCTAGTCACTTCCCGCCCAGAGGTGCAGCTTACCGCTTATGCAAGCACTTGTCTCATGGCTAAAGCACTTTCACCTTGAGGGATCGTGCTCTGGTAACGTCAACCTCTGACATGTGTTTCCCAGCAGCCACTGCCCTGTCCATTCAGTAGCCACTTGTGGATGTTTTAAAAAGTTTTGACTGGGCGTGGTAGCTCACACCTATAATCCCAGCACTTTGGGAGGCCGAGGTGAGAGGATTGCTTGAGGTTACAGGCTCGAGACCTGCCTGGCCAACCCGGCGAGACCTCATCTCTACATTAAATGAAAACATCAGCCGGGGCCGGGCTCAGCGATTCAGCCTGTAATCCCAGCACTTTGGGAGGCTGAGGCAAGCGGATTGCCTGAGGCTGCTAGTTAGAGGTCAGCCCAGGCAACTTGATGAGACCTTGTCTCTACAATAAAATTTAAAATAGCCGACGTGATAGCGTACACCTGTAGTTTGGGGCTACTTGGAAGGCTGAGGCAGAAGAATTGCTGGAGGCCAGAAGGTCGACACTGGGGTGGCCGTAAGCATGCACTCCACTGCACTCCACACCCAGGCTGGAGTGCAGTGGCATGCAGAACCAAACAAACATTAGCTAGCATGGTGGTGTGTGGCTGTAGTTTGGCTACTTAGAAGGCCAAGGCAGAAGGACCGCCTGAGCTGAGCAAGTTGAGGCTTCGGTGGCCATGAGTGTGCCATTGCACTTCAACCCGGACGAAGGAGTGAGACTCCAACTCAGTAAAAATAAAAAGTTCCATTTTGATGGTTTCTTTCACTTATGCCAGCTCTGATGTGTCTCCCTTTCTTTCCTCTTCTTTCTCTAATAAACTTTATTTTAAAACTTTGAAAAAGTTCCATTTCTCAGCCACTAACCACATTTCAGGTGTGCAGTAACCACATGTGGCTGGTGGCTGTCATACTGGACAGCACAGCCTTGCAGGTGTGATGTCAAATTTTCCTGAGGAGTTCTCAGTTGCCATAACAAGTGCTTAAGCACAAATTTTGCATTCTGAGTATTCTGTGTGATCACTGCTGGTGCATAGTAGGCACTGAGGAAATCTTTGTTGAAGAAAGAATGTAGGTGACCCAGAATCTTCTGCCAGGATGAGTAAGATGAATTAATAGACGCTTCTTCGAGCATCACCAGAGGCCTTAGGTAGTCAGGACCAGAGAATTTTCTTTGTCCCTTTGTGAGCTGTCTAGCCCCACATTTGGGATTAGTGGGATTTCTCCCCCAGGATTCTGTTCCCGTGCTCCCAGAAGGACAGGGCAGACTGGACGCCCTTGGCTTTGTGACTCCCTCCTAGGTGTGTGGAGCGTGTCTGCATCCTGTGACCCAGCTGGGTCGCTTCCTGCACGGGCTCCAGTTGACTTGCTCGTTTGCTCCACAGATGATGCCGGAAGTGCGGGGAGCCTTGTTTGGTGCCAACGCCAACAGGAAGTTCCTGGACTAAGCCTTTGGGAGGCAGCGTTCGTCCCGTGCTCGTGTGCTGTGCCGGGGAAGCTTCTGCCACGTGAAGACACCAGAACGTCTGCCGCCTTCTCTCCGTTCTTCAGTATTGCTCTGTATTTCTCAGTGGATGCCCTTCTGTCACTAATGCCCTTGGCCTGATCATTAACAGGGGGAGGGTTCCTCCCCTTCTGCTCAGGACCCCGCCCTTAGGTCATCTCAGTCCCAGCGTCCAAGGGTTCTGCAGCATCGGGTGAGGGGTCCGTGGTGTTGCATGAGCCTCGCTGGCACTCCTGCCCTCTGGCTCCCGTGACCTAGTCTAGAGTGGTGTACGTGGTGCTCTCCCCCCAAGTCTGCTCCCGGGGGCAGAGGGCATGTTGCACGTGCTTCCTTCCAGCAGTAGCAGCTTCACTGTGATGTATTTGCACCTAGTTTTCCTCGTCTGTAATGTGATTTGAGATCTAAGCCATGAATATGCTTTATTTATTAAAACAAAAGGTGTGGATGGAGTTGTGGCTTCTTATGTAAAGCACTACAGATGTACCGTTTGAGAGTCAAGTTCTTAGGTGCCTAGAGAAGAAGCCCACAGCTGCTGGTTCTCGAAACCGTTGACCCTCGGTGCCTGCTAGGCAGCTTACCACTCCCAGCCCCTTGGGTCCCCCTCGCCACGCGACTTCTCAACCCTGCCCGTCCTTCAGCGGTTGCACAGCTTTAATGAGGAAATGGTTTTCCTAGATTGGGCATAGGGAGCAGAAAAACGGTTCTGCTTTTTGAGTCCACGTCTCCCTCTGTCGTCCAGGCTGGAGTGTAGCGGCACGCTCAGTGGCCACAACACCCTCGACTGCTCGGGTGATCCTTCCGCCTCAGTCTTCCAAAACCAAGTTATTCTCGGGGGTTACTGTGCCCACATTCTCAGAGACCCCGTTCCTCCTCCCGCTCCCCTCAGGTGACCCCTAAGAGCCACCAAGGCCTAGCAGCTGGCCCACGGCAGAGCCCGGATGTTCACTGAACCGTCTCCATGGAGAAGGCCGCCGCGCAGGGCTGACGACTGCAGCACTGTCCTCTTCCTCGACCCAAGCTTTAGTGGTGGGGCCGACTTAAATACTAGCTCCTGCAGCAGGTGGCTTTTTATTAGAATTGATGCCATCTGTGTGACGCTCTTTTCTGTCTCCTGTGGGGGAAGGAGCTGAGGCACATGAGGTGACCTGTGTCGTCGCAAACTCTGTTCCTCGGGATTGTGCAATTATGAGACGATGGCGAGACTCGAGACCACCCAGTGGGACTTCAAATGCCCGTGGGTTGTTTCCATCCCCATAGTAACCACTTGGAGAGTGACAGTGACCTGCTTCAGTATCCTTTTTCTTTTCTTTTTGAGTCGGAGTCTCACTCGGTTGCTGGGCTCCGGCGATCCTTCCGCCTCAGCCTTCCGAGTGGCCGGAATTACAGGCATGCGCTACCACACCCAGCTGATTTTTTGATTTATTGTAGAGATGAGGTCTCGCTGCCCAGGCGGGTCTCGAACCTGCGGGCTCAGGCAGTCCACTCACCTCAGCTTAACGAAGGCACGGGATGACAGGCTGAGCCACCGAGCCCGGCCAGTGTCCTTTTTCACGCAGTTTGGTTCAAAGCGAGGTAGAAGATTAGGTGACAGAAGGTTCATCACAGCCCATCTGCCACGCCCACTAAGACCAGACAGGATTGTGACCATCCAGCTTTATTTCAAATCATGCCCCAGACATGGAGGAGGATGGCTGGGCCACAGCCTGGGCACCAGCAGGGGACAGGGACAGGAGGGCCACCCTGACTGCCCGGGCCGTTCAGCTGCGCCAGCCTCGTCCCTCAGCCATCCAGGACCTGAAGGACGTTGAGGTGTTCATGGTCCCCATGAACCTCTGATCCTCTGTTCCCTCAAGATCAGTGCTAGGGCTCATCCTAAAGCATGAATTCACAATGAACCCAACCCTCCGACGAACTCAAGCGTGCTGAGTCTGAGTGTGAGAAATGTTAAAAGTCCAGAAGCAGCCGGGCTCGGTGGCTCAGCCTGTAATCCCGCGCCTTTGGGAGGCTGAGGTG